TTCGTGTGAATTTAGAGAGCGCGGGCGGCCGAAAAAGGCGGCACTTCGCGGGAGCCGGTCGGCGAATTTGGACACGGGCAAAGTTTGACCTTTTCCCGCCAGCCCCAGCGCGCCACCGACCTTTTTTGAACTCCTCCAGCATGGAATCCAGCTTGGTGTCATGGAAGACAAAGTGCACCGGGTGGTTGTAGAACTTGGTGATGGACTTCAGCGTGGTGCTGTCGTCCGGGTCGACGAAGGCCAGGTCCTTGACGAAGAGCACGTCCACGATGTTGGAGCGCTCGCCCTCGTAGACGGGGATGCGGGTGTAGCCGCTCTCCATGATCTCGGACATGGTGTTGAAGTCCAGCACGGCGTCGCTGTGGATCATGAAGCAGTTGTCCAAGGGCGTCATCACGTCCTCCACCGTTTTGGTGCGCAGCTCCAGCGCCCCCTGGATCATGTTGAGCTCCTCCTTCACCAGGTCGTTGTAGGGCTCCGTCACCTTCAGCATCTCCACCAGCTTCTCGCGGTTGTACACCGTGCCGATCTCCTGGCCCAGCACGCAGTCCAGGATCTTGCTGATGGGCCACGACAGCGGGAAGGTGAGCAGCATGAAGAGCTTGGTGACCAGGATGGTGTTGGCGCCCACCGCCAGGCCGTGGCGCGAGCACAGCGCCTGGGGCACGATCTCGCCGAAGATCACGATGCCCACCGTGGAGGCCACCACCGCCCCCACGCCGGACTTGGTCAGGTCGTCCAGCAGGATGGTGAGAGTGGTGTTGACCAGAACGTTGCCCAGGAGCAGCGAGCACAGCAGGTAGTTGCCCTTGCGGCGGATGGGCTCGATCTTGCGGGCGTACTTCTTCTCCTTTTCCGTGCCGCAGCTCTGCACGATGCGCAGCTCCATGGGGTCCAGGGCCATCAGGCCCAGGTTGAGCCCGCTGAACATCCCCGACAGGACCAGCAGGAAGGAGATGAGGATCACCTGCGAGGGTGAAATGTCAGCCATCAACAACTCCTCCGCTGGACTTTCCCACATTTTCCGGGGATCGGGCGGACCGCTTTTTGGACTTCCTCGACCTACGTTCCAAACCAAGTCCCGTGCTCACAAAGAGTCGGTCAAGATCGGCCTCAAGTGCGCTACGACCTTCGTAGGTGAACCGTTCTGGAAGCTTTTCGATCTGTTTCAGCAGTTCTCGACTCATTTGGGACCCCATTGTCGACACAGATAGAAGCTTTTTTTTTTTTCCCCCCCGGTTGCTGTCATTTGCCAAGTGAGTATTTTCTTACATTGTTTTGCTCAAACAGGACTGATTGGTACCTCAGCCTTGATTATTTGGTTACAATTTAGCTTGCAGAAAAGTGTTTGGGTTTTTTTTTTTTTTTCTCCTCTCGCGGAAATTAGAAACAGTTTCAATCTCAAGACTTATTTCGACACTCGCATGTGGTTAAAGCGCAGCAAAAATGGCACCAGTCTCTTGCCCCGCCTCGCCCCCTGACCTGTGGAATTTGGCCTGTTTTGCTGCCACTTCTCCACCTCCGCACTCCTCTCTTACTTGGAGAGCAGGCTAGGCTCTTGCTCTGAGGAGTCGGCGTCGGCCCGACCGGGACAGGTCCCGAGGAGAACCACTTCTCCGGAGGAGTCAACCTGCAGCACTTTGTTTCATTCTCTTGTACAACGCAACAATCTACCGTCTCCTCTCATACGATAAATGTTGGCCGCTCGTGAGGGTGACCCCTTCCCAAGGTTTCTTTTTTGTTTTCCCTTCTCCTCCTCCTCCTAAATGGGTTTTCTCTGAGTTTTTGATTGGGTGGTTGCGGGGTTTGGGCCAGCGGGAGTTCCTTTTTGTTTAAGCCCTTTGACACTCTTTCTGTTCTGAAGGGTTTGGGCATACAAATAAACTTGACTTAAGAGTAAGCACCTTTTGTTCTTCATTGTGCCAAATCAAAACTTGTATATGATTGAGAATTAAAAAAAAAAAAAGAAAAGAAGAATTGGCACTTTTTGCTTCAGTACATTTCAGAGTTGGGGCTTTTTACTTTTTGCAGTCCTTTGTTTGTTTGTTTGCTTGTTTTTCTCTAGCTCGACTTCAGTACAGCGCGCGAGCACATGTTCCGTGACTCACCTGAAGCCACACGGGGAGCAGGGACTTCTTCACCTCCACCACCCGCATCCGGCCGTCGCGCTCGTCCAGCAGGGACCACGCGTCCGGGGGTTCCAGGGGGTCTCGCACGCACAGGGCGAACACCTTGACCACCTCGCTCTTGCGGAGCTGCTTGACGGTGACGCTGGCCAGCCCGGAGGTGTTGTGGTTACTCACGTTCATGGTGCCCTTCACGACCAGGTCCTTGCTGTGCTCCGAACACGTCAGGTTGAGAGGCACCTCCACGGCGCCGTGGGCATCGTCCTCCGCCTCGCTGGAGTAGAGCTCCGTGAAGCGGACGAGCGCGGAGCTGTTGGGGAACAAGTGGAGCCCGTAGAACCGGACCAGGATGTCGCTGCCCTCGGTTACCTGGATCACGCCGCGCTCGGTGGTCCCGGCCGGCATGTCGCTGCGCTCGAGCCGCATGCCGAGTATCCGCGTGGTGGCCCGCGGCTCGGCCAGCGCCGCCTCGGCCCCGACGCCAGCCGCAAGGTGGGTAAAGAGCAGTAAAGTCCGCAGAAAGCCGCGTCCGCTCAACGCCGTCGCCATGTTTGTTTCGCTCACTGTCAATTGTGTCAGAGGCGGGAGGGGCAGCGGGAGGGGGATAAGACGTCACTACATTCGTTTGGCTCATTTACATTCACGGAAGCCGGCCAATAGGCTGCTCAAACGTCATCGCGACAATGTCCACTGAACCGCCCTCCCGGTGAAATTTTTGTTTTCAAACCGATTTGACTCACTGCCTTCAAGTACGTCGCGTCATTTCACTTTCTGCGTAAAATAGATTACTGTAAACATTTACATTTAAATGTTTTACATTAATGATTTGTCTTAAAACGTACCACGCTCAATGTCGTTTCGGGTCCCTACGCCATTTTCTACAAACTTTTTGCGCTTATAAAGATCTTTGGGCGTTTTTACCCTCTCCGTTTTTCCCATAAATGCCACTGCTAAAACCTATACCCTATACTGTACTGTTTTCTTATAAGTAGCCACACTCTATTGATCCAATAAAATAGCTGAATGAAAGGACAATTACAAAGAAAAATCATCTTTACATTTCCGTTTTTTAACGGCCAGCTCTGTTTAACTTATTTAGTTCAATACAGTTCCATAAATTGCATTTTCATGTTTTAAATTCAAGGGTATGTCGTTCAATCACCACATGAGATCACCCTTCTCATTGTCAACATACTTTCAGTGATTTCCAAGGTCTTTTTTTCGAAGTATCCATTTTCCATAAAACTCACTACACAAACTTTTTAAGACTGAATTGTGTTTTCTGTTCAATAAACCAAAATATGGTCAGGAAACAAAATGAGGTTACGTCTGCCCGAAATGAATCCAACACAATAGCTTTATGAAAGACAAGTATAAATTAAAATAATCGTCATTTGATTGACGTCGCGCAGTCAATTTCATAACCCCAAAACTCAATGCCAGAAATCGCAGATCGCAAAACGGAAGTCGAATGAAGCCCGAATGTCAGGATTAGGTTAGAGCGCCCTCTTTTGGTCAAATTACACAATCCGTTTCCATCATGGTGCCTTTTTTTACAGTGGTCTCCATCAGATAGATCTTAATGGAAATTCACATTCGACCTCTCAATTAAACTCTTGCGAGGAGCTGCTGTCGGCCACAACTTGAGAAGAGCCGCTCACACGCAAACCGATCGGCCAAACCGTAACTCGCTTCGCCATGCGCCCCGTTAAGGCACACAACCAACGCACCAACGCTATAGAAACCGTAAAGACGCCAAATTACTTCTTTACATTCTCTTGCAGTAATTTGATCTAAAATACGGTGTTATTGTTCGTCCTTACATTCACATAATAACAAGTTGTGGCGTTTTGGGAGGGCTGGAACCCTTGTTTGGCATTTCAATTCCTTTCAAGTAAATTTAATATTTGAGTCGACTGAGTTACCACTGCCCGGCAATTTCATTCTCTCTCTCTTACTTCTGTGTCTGACGGGAAAACAAACGCTGCACAGCGATTGCCGCAAAAAGGAAACCAGCAGTGCGGCAGCCAATCGGATCAGACGTGACAGTCAATATGGGGCAAATTACAGGTGTGAGGGCGTCCAAATATTTTCCCAACAGTGTGATGCCTTGCACTTGTACACTAACGCAAATACAAGCGCAACCACGGTGCTCAATGAGCACCTCTCTGACAATGTCATTCAATAGACAGCTGCACTATAACTGTGAGAAACGGTTTGCGCTTTCTACTTGTAGACTCTAGAACCCCCAACCCCGTCCGCGATTCCCCTCTTGACCACTAGATGACGCCTTGTTATCGTGGTTTTCAAGTTTGATGTGTCTCACGATGCTATTTCAGAAACCTGTCGGCCGAAAACTAGCATTTATGCTAAGTCCGGCGAATTTACACGGTTTATTCTTGTGTTGATTGATGTGCGCTGTCCTAACGAAATAAATAAATGAATACATGAATAAATAGATAGAAATAAAAAGTTGCGATGTCGAAAGAGAGGACGCGGAGCTCACCGACCGACTTCCATGTGAGTTCACTCGACAACGGCGACCCCATGGAGACACAGACGGAGAATTTACAAGATGATAAACATTTCGATCTTTATTTCTCATTACATTCAGTTTGTGAACTTCACGTGCTTTGTACCGACTCCTTGAATATGTGTGCTGTTATCTCCCAGCACAAAGTTATTTGGTGAAATGCTTTGAAAATAAGGTATTCCTTTATTTCTATCAATTACAGAAATTATGAAGAAGGTTTGATGGTGGGAAAAATGTGTTTGCTTTCAGGTCGGAACTGGGACAATCCGAGTTCCCACCTTCCTTGATTGCAGCATCATCATCATCATCATCATCATCATCATCAGTCTCGTCATCGATGAGTGGAAGACTCGCGAGATTTGTCGGCCTCACGCGCGATGATTTGGTCCAACTCCCCCGCTGAACTTTTTGGTGGGCAGGCCAAGAGGCGGCGTTTGGAATGGAGGCAAGAGACTCGAGCGGAAACGGAGGAGGGCTTAACTTGCCGAGAGGAGGAGGGATGTGGGCGGCTGGTGGACGTACGAGAGTACCGCTAAAGGAAAATATTATTCCGTCGTTGTGGCTCCTCCGAGCGCGAAGGCGTCCGTCCTTTCATCCCCGGCAGCAACGGCGCTGTCTCCTCGGCTCGGCGATCGAGGTAAGTCGCCCCCACCCCACCCGAGCCCCCGTCCCCGGTGTGCGGAGGTCTAGTTGCACTCTTGAAAGCTTTGAAAGTCAAGTGAGGCGAAGTTGTGAGCGAGAAAAAAAGTTGGCCCAAATCAGCTTCTCCTTTTCTTGAGCGACGAAAGCTTGCATTTTTACTTTGATGGAAAGTGCTCGAGTGTGAGTGTCTCAAGTGCTCGGTGACTCATTTTCAACCGGATTTCGCTTCATTTCATTTCGTTTGTCGGTGGTGTAACATCATCTTTTACTGCGACGGAGTAAAATTGGACAGGAGAAGCGTAATTGAACACATCTGTATGGGGCTGAGTTGAACATGAAGATGAGAAGTGCTTGAATTTGCGATGAGGTGTGCTGAAAAATCATCTTTTTGAGGAAACTTAGGTTGCCCGTGACAGGAAAAATGATTGGACATTTACAGACTGGCGAAAAGGTGTTCGCAAGCTAACTAGCCAGTGAACCCAGCGGCAGAAGAAACGCACGAAAGGGTCAAGTCTGTCATAAATGTTGACCAAAATATGTGTTGACGGTGATCAAATACTCTTTGATGGCTAGGGGGGAAAAAAAAGATCTAAAAGTGCAATATTTGTTGAAGACGTTAGCTTCATAGAAGACCCCAAGTCTTCGATGACTTCTCTTCGGCAAGTTGAAGGCAAGTGTTCAGTGTTCTGAAAAGGTGGACATTACGCTTTCCTAAAGGCCGATTCATCCGAAATGTTGAGAAAAACATGCGTCGAGTATACTGTACTGGCGACAGATGATTGTTCTCGATGTTACATAACACCTCTGAGTTGTCTGCAAACAGATGTACATTGTGAGACTCAAAATTGTCGTCCTCGCTACTGCAGTTGGAATCAGAAATTGGTCAGGTCATTTTCACGAAGCTCGGCGAGCAACAAGAAGCCAACAACTCCAAAGACGGACGCAATCTGCACTGACCAATGAGTCGGGAAACTGGTGGAATACTTGTTGTGAACGTGTGCTAGCCCGCGAACGAAGCAATTGAAACTTAAGATCCTCGTTGGAAGTCATTCGGCTTCAACTTTTGGAAAAAGTTGCTGATAATTCCAATCCGAAATCACGTGATTTCGCGCAGGCGTCTGGCAAAACAAAGCTTTGTGAAGGTCGGCCATTTGATCGCCAATCGATCCAACGGCCGTGTTCATTCGTTCACAGAGGTCAATTCAAAGGTCGGGGGTTTAATCAGGTAAAATGAGAAGAGGCCCGAGGTGTCAGGTGAATTATTCAGAGCTCGATTGTTCAGCGCTCCCGACACTCCGGCCGGGTGTTGCCATTGTCGCATGGACCTCGGTCCAAAAAAGTGCAAAGGCGCCTTTCTGCCCGTCCGGTCCGGCGAAGGCGAACTTTGATTTGACTTCAACCTTCAATGCGTTGAAGATTCTTCAGTTTCCGTAACGACGAGCAAAAACACGTCTTTGATGTGTCCGAAGACCCGTCCGTTCGCTTTGTCCAAGACTCTAAATTAGCGCACGTTTCGTTAGTCAAGGACAATCGGGGACGTTCACAACAATAACAAAACGCGTCGCTTTTCAATGTTGACACAAACGCTCGCTTGCGTGAGGTTTGTCCAAGACTTGAAATTCTCTTTACTGTTTGGTTCAGTCCATTGAAGACCCAAATCCAACCCGGACGTTTACAGAAAGACGTCTCGTCGTTTTGTCGAGTGTCCCCGACGTCACTGCCGTTTTACAAAATCGGTGTGTTTTCTAAACTCAGCTCCAAGTGGCCACCAATCGCATTGCCACTTGTCTAGTGGTGGACATGGCCGCTCGCTTTAGTCCTCAAAGCAGAGACACCTCATGTCGAGGGAGATCTTGCTTTATCTTTGCGCGGGAGGTTGTCGATCGTAAGTGCCGAAATCATCTTGGAAGGATACAAAGCCCACCTCCGGTGTCATGCGGCGCGCCGTGGCGGAGGACCCTCCCAAAAAAGCAGCGAGGCGGGAGAAGCGGAGAGTACCGAACAGAATGTATGCAGAACAACAACGGTTACGGGTACACCACAAAAGCTCAATCCAAAGCACCGACCAAGTCCAGAAAAAAAACCCCAAACTCAAAAGTAACAACACGGCACAGTGACGAAGCCGACGCGCTTGAAATCATCCGCCGTGGACGGGAGCGGGAGGGCGCAGGTGCAACGATTCGCAGGCGCGGCCTTCGGTGACCCGTCGTCGTTATTCTTAGCCGGCGGCTTTGATAAAAGCGGGAGCCCGTGAGAAAGCGTCAGCCCGGGAAGACGCCGGAGCATTCCTCAAAAGCCAAAGCCAAAGAGTTGCTTTCAATAAAAGCAAAACGGGACACTCTTTCCCCCTTTTTACTGGAAGCCAAAACGTTTTGCCTCGTCCCCTCCCTTCTCATTCCGTTTGCTATGAGACACAACAGAGGAAATCCAGCCGCTGCCTTATCTGGCGCAGCCGACCATTGTTTCATGGAAGAATGCGACAGGGCACGCTCACTTATTTGGGAGGACTGATCAAAGTGGGGGGGGGCGGGGGTGGCCTGAGGCTCACATCGACAACTTCGTCAAAGCGGGATTTCGGGGTTTCTTTCTCCAAAATGTGTGTGTCGAATCGCAGAATAGATCCGCCTCTGCCCTTGACGGCAGCCAAATCTCCACGATTGCCACCGCTTAAAGAACACGATGTCGTCGCAAGAAACGGTCACTTGGGGATCATTCATGCGCAGGTCTTCGTCGATCGGCCGTCGAGCACCAAGTGGAAGAAACGATCTGAAAATGGGATTCTCCTGATTCACGGCAGTGCTTTGAAGGTAAATGCTCTTCTTTCCATCGTTCATTTGCGCCTTCGAATATGGCCAAAAGGTCGACGGTGCGGCCTCCCTTCTCGCTCTGCCCACCTTCACCTTTTTTTACCAACCTCGCAGCCCACGTCAAAAAAAAAAAAAACCCGAAGCAAACTCGCCCACCCGTCTTCCAATTCGAGTCACTCAAGAATGAAACGTCTCGCCGCTTTGCTCGCCATTTGTTGTGCCACGCCAGCGTTTGGATCAAAAACGTCACGGGAGTCGTGTCGAATCGACCTCGGTGAGCAAGCGCGGCGGCCTCATTTGCCAGCCGCGTCCACGCGGTGAGCCCCGGAAAGCCCCCCGCCCGCCTCGACGATACCGTGGCGGGTTTGAAAGGCTTCTTCCTGTCTGGCAGCCTCGCGTCAGCGGTGGAAAATAAACTGGGCGCCGAGTTCGGTGAGTGAACAGTGGACTGTTTGTCTTGGGCGCATGTGTTGTGTTTCAAGGACCCGAAGGCAGCGGCCGGCCCGCCGCGTGTCATCAAACGTGTGTGCGGAGTTCCCGTCCAAAGGCGCGTTCCTGCTGCCGGCTATTTGCCGGATGACGTCGCCGTGGTGACCCGACGCTCCAAGGGCGCCAAAAAAAACAAAAAAAGGCTTTGCGAGTTATCGTTCTGTTTTTACAAGAATAATTTGGACACCTAAACGCAGCACGAGGTTTTTCTGTGCAGGCTTTTTTTGCGTGCGCTACTACCGTCGCAAAAAGCAAAGCGACACGCCGGGCTGTCTGTGCGCCTCACCGCTCGAGATTTGGCTTTGTGTTTGCCTTCTGTCATCATGAACCTGATTTATGATCATATAAAACTAACACTGTCGAGCACCACATTGTGCTCGACAGTGTTGCGCATCCGTTGCAGCCAGGTCGTCCAAGGTCGTCCGGGAAGGCGGATTCCCCCGTCTGCGGGCCCTGCTCGTGCCGCATGCAAATTAAATCAAACTCCACCGTGGGATGGGAGACACAACGCAGCGCGGCACGCAAAGCCATCTGAAAACCGCAAGAAGCAACGTGTGGGGTTGGAACTTCCTTCTTGCTCTTTAACGGTTTCTTTATGACGCTCCATGCGGACGTGTTTGCTCAGCACGTTCCCGTGTGCTGCTTTTCAAAGGCGCGCACGCGCACTCTGAGAATTGCCAGGCGGTTCTAGAACGTAAAAAAAAAACCCCCACACAAAAACAAGAGTAAAAAAGAACATGAGTAATTGTGTGTAAGCGATGCTATCAAGCGAGGAAATGCCAAAGAGAGCAATACGGGAGTTCCTGGCAATGCCGTGACAGGAAATCTAAAATATGCCTCAGAGGGGCCGTAGATACGAGTTACATTTTGTTCACTTTGGAAGGCAAGAAGACGGAGCAGGTCCGCCAGCAAAATCTCATGGCAGCACCAAAAACACAGATCGGGACGCAGAGGATAAAGAATATACGCCTGCAATTTAGTCACCCGTCAGCATGCGTTTTGAGGCATTGTGGCCAAATAGCCGGTCCTCAAACGGGTCCAGCTCAGCCGCCAGCAATTGCATTTTGCATGCCGTACGAGCATCGGGCGAGCCCAAGACGACGTTGGCTGGTTGTTTTCGAGACTCGGGGAGCTTTTGCGTGGCGCGAACCAGTACAAATGGAGCAAAGGGGTGGCGTCATAGTGGCCTTGTCGCGCCCCGGCGCAAAGCCGCACTTATGCTTTGTTTGCGAGCAGGCCGTCCACCTCTGTGGCCGCGTTCGCGCCGGTACGTCGTACGCGCGAGATCCTTTGTGAAGAAGACGGCGCAAAACTGAAGGTGCTGCCATTCGGCCCTCACTGTGCAAATCGCTTTGACCGATGTTGACTTTGGCAGTCAAACCACGACCGGGAGTGGCCTCAAACGGGCCGATCCGTTCTCCCGCTTGCCAGCGGGGGGAGACAGGGGGGCTTTGATCGCATCTGAGCTTTGATTTGGGCGCACGTTCACGTTGGCGCTTCTCCACAGACGACGCCGACGTGAGGCATTGTGGCCAAATAGCCGGTCCTCAAACGGTCGCATCTGAGCTTTGATTCGGGCGCCGGGGCGCACGTTCACGTTAGCGCTTCTCCACAGACGACGTCGACAAAGATGATGAACAGATAGCAAAGAAGAGAAGATGGCGTCCTTTGGCCTCCCTTGTGCCAGGAAGAAAGAGCCAGGTAAGCTTGAGGAGACTTTCATTTTCAGAGCAACACATTTTTTGGTTTTCATAATATTGACATCGTTCGTGATGCTTCTTGTCTTTGATGTTAGAGCTGGAGAGGAAGCTGAGGGCCAACGACCGCGAATACAACCTCTCCTTCAAATATGCCGTGAGTGTCGACCGCTACATTCCGACGCAAAGATGCAAGTGCCCGTTTGCTTTTTGTTTGCCTTTTTTTGGTGGGGCGGGGCGGCACCCCTTGTTTGTGTGCCTTTTGTTGGCGGTCCGGTCCAGCCGCTGATCACAACCACCTGGACTCACTCGTTCAACATTTGCGAAATGCTTCGACACACACGCACACACAAAACTCTTTGTGCCGAAGAAATAAACACGGGGCGGCCCCCCTTGTTGGTGTGCCTTTTGTTGGCGGTCCGGCCCAGCCGCTGATCACAACCACCTGGACTCACTCGTTCAACATTTGCGAAATGCTTCGACACACACGCACACACAAAACTCTTTGTGCCGAAGAAATAAACACAGCAACTCAAAGTCCTCCACCGCATCTAAAACGACAACAACAAAAAAGTCCACGGCACGCCTGTTTCTGTACCGTGACATCCTTCCACGTCATATCAGCACGCGGCAACTTTTCTCGCCTTTCATTTGTGTTAAGAGCCAAATTGCGCAATCGAAGCGCATCCACCAAGTCGAGAAAGTTGCATGAAATTAAAAGCTTGCCATGCACCGGGCTTCCAATTCATTCCGGGGTTAGTTTTGATTTTGTTGTGACTTTTGCCCTTTAATTTCACTTGTTTTGAATTTGTTTTTCCAGCCGCTTGTTTGTTTCTTTGTTAGTTTTTTTTCATATATGAAGAATTTGATTTTGTTGTGACTTTTGCCCTTTAATTTCACTTGGTTCGAATTTGTTTTTCCAGCCACTTGTTTGTTTTTTTCATATCTGAAGAATTTGTGGAGCGCAAGATGAAACAAAAGTGTCATAAAGTCCGGTCTACGACAAGCTTCCTCTTTTCTGTGTGGACCTGCAGTAGTACCGAAATAAATACATTTAAAATGAACCCCGAACATTCATCTTTTCGAAACATGAGATGTAGGTTCAGTTAGGGTTTGTTTTTGCCCCCCCCCCACCCACCCGTTGGTTTCGGTTGACTCTGATCAGCTCGCCGTGCGCTTTCTCCCCCGCAGACGAATGCCATCAAGACCTCCAAGTACAACTTTTTCACCTTCCTACCTCTCAACCTCTTTGAGCAGTTCCAGAGGATC